ACCATGTGATATGTTTAGTGAGACTTAGCATGCGTGAATAAAGTGTATGCAGGAGGAAATTGCCTTGTCTTCCCAATTAGAAATTTGGAGCCATAAAACTTGTTTTTTTCCATGTTGCTTACATCCTTAACACTGTCCTCTTAAGAAGTCATCTACATKCTAACAGCTTGCTCAGTCCTGATATATGGGACTGGGCAGGCCAAACAATAGTGGACTTATACATACCATAGCAACTGACTGAAGGCCAAGGAATACTAAAGAAATAATATCTAACAATTTTTAATGATTTATATATGTTGACGTGTTTTTTTCCTCACAACTCTTGAAATATATCCTGTTATTAACTCCCATTTTACGGATAGGTTAACTTTGCTGAAAGTAACAAGGCCCAACAAATGGTGGAACCGAKATCCAAACCCACATATTTTGGCTCCAGCAGGTACACTTGAATAGTCAGCCCCTCTCTATCAACAGGATACAAATAGGAAGATGCTCAAAGATGAGGGAACTATAGAGTAAATCTGATACTTGGCTTTACAAAGGTTAGACTCATGACAATCCCCCCTCCTTTGGGAAACAAACTGAGCAGCTGGTTTCTATATGAGTTCATGTCCTTAGCCTTCAGCTGCAGGCACCATATGGCAATGCTGTCTTTTTGAGGTTGACTTCTATGCCTCATCTCTTCTGTGAGAATTTTCCATTGGTTTGATATTTACCATCTTTCAGGRTTGACTTGAGACCTTGTCCTATGTCACTGAAGAAATAAACTMATCATTATCCATAGATTTCAGAAGAGAATGGAAATCAGTTCTAATCAACAGGCAATTCCAGATTAGAATTAACCAAAGTCATTACCTAATGCTCCACTTTAATCTTTTTTCCTTATTAATCTTGGAGTTTGAGACTGGAACCAGAAGCCTGTAGCTAGATCAAAACATCTCTGTAGGTCTGGAGTTCCTTTTTTTTTTTTTTTAATATTTATTTATTTATTAGTTATTGGCGGACACAACATCCTTGTTTGTATGTGGTGCTGGAGGATCGAACCCAGGCCGCACGCATACCAGGCGAGCGCGCTACCGCTTGAGCCACATCCCCAGCCCAGGTCTGGAGTTCCTTAAGGGTCCATTATTGATGTTCACCCTGGCCTGATGGTTGCTACATATTATCTATTTTTTCCATTATCAGGTGTCCTGGCCATTTTGTGTACCATGATGAAAAGCACAAGAAGACAACTTTTCSTATGAATGAAAGTGTGAAACCTATCATTAGGCTAAACAAAAATCAACCATGGAAGTACAGGCTTGGAGAAGAAGGGTTGGCTTCGTGTTTATGTTGGGGTAGGAAGCAGTATTCCTAACTATGTATCCAAACAGCTAATGGTGTAACTTGGCTGCTCATAAATTAATTTAGCTTTAGTCTGCCTTAATACAATTGTAGTCTTCAGAACAAGGAAAGTAGTAACTTCTGTACAGCATACAAGTGAAAATACTGCCAGAGGAGGGTTTGCTGTGCAGTGTGACCAATTGAAAGAATTGGGAAATGTTTTGAGACTTGAGTTGGTCATGTTAGCTGCCTTCAGATTGTGATGATTTGTAGGGTTTCAGAAGGYAGAAATTAAATCTTTTGAGTAGATTGATAATAGAGTTTCGTTTTCTAGACAAGGGATACTACAAAACAGATTTATTTTTTTCTTTTTGTGGAACTGGGGATTGAACCCAGGGAAGCACTGTACACTGAGCTACAAGTACCCCTGCCAACAAATGATCTTTAAAACACAATGGTCAAGGACAGAGATTCTAACAATCTTGTGGAAGAACACTACATCGCCATGTCATTTTTCTTTTAGTATCTATCTAAAGTCTGCTCAAACTTCTCTCCCTCCACCTGTTTCCTTAAATGTTGGTATATTGTTGGGTGTCAATAGTTGGCATTGCACTCTGCTCATTCATCCTAGGCAATTTCACATATTTACCTATTGGTTCCCACTTATTTGCCGATARTATCTAAACCTTAGCTCCTTTCCCAGAATTTCCAACTAGACATCTCCACTTGAATGTCCCACGGGTGCCTTCTGCTCAACAGATCAAAAACAACTAATTCTCTTTCCATTCTGCACTCTACTCCCCACCTCCCTCAAACAGAACATTCTTCTGAACTTTTCATCTTGTTTGTTGGCACCATTAACTATGATAGCCTACTTCTCCCTCATCCCACACCCAGTGTATCTCCAGTTGCTGCCAATTTGGTGTTCTAATCACTTTTTGAAGGCTACCTCCATCACAGTTCCATTGCACATCCTCCTCATCTCTGGACAGTTTTCCTGCCCACAGTCTTGTCCCTGACCACAAACCCTTACTTAATAAAATGTCTGAATTATTATTAATTTTTGGTGTCAGGGACTCAACCTAGAGCCTCAAGCATAGTAAGCTTGTACTCTACTACTGAGCTACATTCCCAGTCAATAGAGTATTCAGAAATAATAGATTTGATGAGCTTTCTGYATTTAATATTTATTAACCAAAGGCTTATCTACAAGGTTATAAATTCAAGCTCCGTGAAGGGGTTAGGAAGTCTGAAGCTGGGTACAGTGGCTCTTGCCTCTATTCCAAGCAGGTCCAGAGGCTGAGGCAGGAYGATCACAAACTCATGATTGCCTCTGTGATTTAGCAAAAACCCTCAGCAAATTAGACCCTATCTCAAAATGAAAAAAAGGACTGGGGACATAGCTCAGTGGTAAAGYGCCCCTTCCCCACTGCTCAGCTGTGCTGCTCACTTGCTCTACATGCATATACTTAWTTTCATGCCTGCACAGTGCAGCATCTCAGCTATGGCATCCCCCACCCCACCCCTCCAGTGCTGAGGATCAAACCGAGGTCCTCATGAATGCTAGGCAAATACTCTGCCACTGAGCTACATCCCCAGCCTCTCACCTTTTTTTTTTTATATACTTGGGATTGAACCCAGGGGCACTCTACCACTGAGTTACATCCCCAGCCCTTTCTGTACTTTAAGACAGGGTCTTGATAATTTGCTG